TTTTCGCTCACTCAGTTCTGCCGATAGCAGGCAGCGTACGTCATCCCTCATTACACCGCCTGCATCGTATTGAGGGCTTGGATGGAAAAGCACACTGGCATTAACACACGCGCTGAGGACCATCGACAGACCCGTCCCAGGGTCCATCCTTCGCCACGAAGGGCCCAGATCTCGGTCGAGCAGATTTTTGTCAACCAGGGTTATGTTCCTCGATGTTTCGGGGGCCATCATCGGGCCCTGGGACCATCAAAAATGCATCCGCGGCGAAAACTGCCCCCGGGGAAGCGGTCGAGATTTCGAGGGCCGCGGATTGAAAGAAACGTATCGGCGGATGCTTAAAGAGAGAGGGGTCTTGAGGGAAACGGATCCTGAAGTTGCAGTTCCCGTCTTCGGGTTCTGGGGGCCGCTCCCGGGGGCTCCTGGAGCGTCAAAAAAGACGGTTCTGGATGAAGAGCTGGTCCCAGGAGGAAGCTTTGGGGTCCAGGACCCGCTTCCCTCATGCCAGATCCTGGCCCGCTCTTCGGGCCGCGTCCAGCCGTGGCGGTGAGGATGGCGCCAGCAGGAGCGAGCGACCACATTGCACACCAGTGCGACTCTCAGGAAAGGTGCCTCACGGGCTATACCTGAACATCCTATGATATCTGAGGCGGCGGCACTTCGTCCTGCAAGCCAATCTACTTCAAGCGCCTTCCTACTGTAAGAATCGACACGCTTTTGCTGTGTTTTGTTATTCCCTGGGGGGGGCCTGGACCCAATCAACTTAATCCGCCTTCCTACTTCATGTTTTCACCTCCTCCTTCCGACAGACGTGTACGGGTGCCCACACCTTGAGGCGCGTCAGTGCGAGCTCGGGGTCGCCGCACGGTGTTGGGACTTCGGCCGTTCTCTTGGGATGTCTGGTGCGCCTGGGGCCTCCAGGGCCCCGATGCCGTGCGGTAACGGACCGTGCCGTGGGGTCCTTCGGGATGTCGAGGTCACCGCAGAGGAGGAGGAGGAGGAGGAGGAGGAGGAGGAGGAGGAGGAGGAGGAGGAGGAGGAGGAGGAGGAGGAGGAGGAGGAGGAGGAGCCGCGCGCATGCCAGCTGCGGCGGCTCCCCTGCATAGTGCAGCCCACTCCGGGAGAACAGCCCCGCTCGGACGTCGAAGGCGAGCCCAGAACCAGAGCGCCAGCTGCCACCGTGCGGCCTCGGCCCCGGCGGCAATGCGAGGGGACGGCGTCCAGACTGTGGGATTGGAATCGGGGGCGGCAAAGAGGGGGGTGATGACTAGGGGGGGGGATATCATGGCGTGGGCCATGATATTTCCTCAGATTTCATGGCGCCTCTTCTTATTCCATTACGTCCCTGGCCCCCCCGCTGGGCCGCGCACATGCCGCCGGTCATGATTTGCACCCCCCCTCTTGGACAACCCCCCTCTTGGCCGCTCCCGATGGAAGCCAGATATCCGATGATCTGATTTTGTCCAGTCGGGGCGTTGTTCCTCGATCTCGGCCTCCGGGGCCCATTTTCGGGCCTGGGGGCCGAACGTGGATCTGGGATGAGAGATTGGCATTCGGGGAGGGGTCGGGACACCTTTTGGGCCGCAGATTGGAGAAAAGCATCAGTCAATATCGGAAGGGTGAGAGAAGGATTCGACAGCGTGATGTCGCGGCGTGGTGTCTGCCACAGCGTTGTGCCACCCGGACAGTCCGCTGCGCCTGGCGGCGACTTGTACACCGAGAGGTGTCGGTCACAGCGTGGAGGAGCCCTGCGGCCAGGGCGTCGCAACCGCCATCGTTTTCACGCCGGGCGTGTTCGCCTGGGCTCGGGCCCACACGTTCAAGGACTTCACGCTCTGAACGTGCTCCCCTCCCCCTTGCTCCCCTCCACCTCCGCCCGATTCTTTCCTTTCCTCCGCCTGTTGTGCCCAAGTCGGCCCCGTTGCATCCCATGGCTGCCCCCGAACGCGGTGAGGATGCGTTTGCCGAGGCTCGGGCCCCGGGACCCTCACGGATTGACCGATCCGCCTCGAGAAGTGCCACACAAAGTTGAGGTCCATAGGATTCAGGTCTCGGTTTCTTTGACGGTGCTGAAATTGTTGCCCGACGCCAGATCTCAGGGGCCGATGCCTCCCAAGTGGTGTCCAAGCATATGGAGTTGGAGGGTCGCGCCGCAGCGCAGTTGCACCGGCGGTGCGGCCCGAGATGGAGCCGGGTTTTCCCCGCGCCGACGTCGCCCATGCAGGGGCGATGCGGCACGATTCTCCGACCCCATCTACAGTCAACCCGAATAGTAAGTTCCAAGGTTGCCCTTGCATCCTTCGCCTTCGGCCCATCCTTGGCCGCTTTCACTGGCCTGGCCCCCCCCGCAGAGTGTCGACATGGCCTTCCCAGGCCCTCTGCATCCTTATCGCGCGTCCTTATTATACGGGTTGACTCGCCCGCAAGCGCGGATGGTCAGGTGCGCGTGATGGTGGACCGCTGGCAAGGGTGCCCATGTACTACCGCTCTTGTGATTCTATAGCTAGACCCCCTCTCCTCGGCCCGCTTTTGGTGGCGCGGGGAGGGCGGGTGACGTCGCAGACGGCACGCGGTCCCCAACTCGGGAGGCTTCCAAGGAAGCAGGCGCGTCGCGGGGCCTCCGCGCGCCGACGTCTGCGCGCCCTGCGGGCGCGCTGCCAGGCGGGCCGCCCCGCCCAGCCCCCCGCCCCGCTCAGGCAGTGCGAAGGGGGGGGGGTCACCACTGGGGTGGGTCGAGGGGTCGAGGAGGAGGGAGGATCGAAGAGGAGGGAGGATCGACCAGGCTTTGGGCCGAGCAGGAGAGGAGGATCATGAGGATCGTCCTGGCAATCCAGGGTCGAGAAGGAGGGAGGATCGAAGGTCGACAGGGCTTTGGACCGTTTCGGCCGACTGTTTGGGGGCTCCTGGGGCGTCAACGGGGTATCCGTTTCGTCGCCACCTCCTCCGGGAGTCGAGCTCGCCTGGACCCTCCAGAACCTCCCCCAGGACTTCCCCAAAGACGCCCCGAAAATGTTTCAAGCCTCCTCGATCCTCTATCCCCCCTTCTCCTCGGTTTGAGATTCCAAGAGGCGGTGGCGCCCCCCTGTCGGCACTGCCTGGCCCGCGCACCATGGCGGGGTCACCGCTGGGGGGGTCGCCAGGCCTTGAAAGAGTCGAGGGTCGTGGAGGAGAGAGGATCGAAGATAGACCAGGCTTTGGACCAGCTTTGGCCGTCCGTGGGGGGGCTCTGGGCCCGTTTCCATATGATGTTGCTGTTGTTGCTGCTGATGGTGATGATGGTGGTGCTGGAGGTAAAGATGATGTTGATGTTGATGCCCACACCGATGCTGATGGTCATGGTGGTGATGATGATGGTGATGATGATGATGATGATGATGATGATGATGATGATGATGATGGTGGTGGTGGTGGTGATGGTGACGACGACGATAGTGATGATGATGACGGTGACGATGATGGTGATGCTGATTTGGGGTGCGATGATGATGAGGGTGATGATGTCGATAAAGACAGTAATGGCGATGATGGTGTTGTTGATCATGATGGTGATGGTGATGGTGATGGTGATGGCAATGATGATGGTGATGGTGATGGTGGTGATGACAATTGTGGTCATGGTGGTGGTGATGGTTGTTGTGATGAAGATGATGCTGAAGCAGCAATGGCAAGGACAATCATGATGATGATGACGACGACGATGACGATGATGATACATGGTGACGACGATGAAAGTGATGATGGCGATGGTGATGATGATGGTGGTGAGTAGGATAATGGTGATAGTAATAATGATGATAGATAATAATGGGCACGATGACAGATGACGATTCTGATGATAGTAGTGATGGTGGCGATGACGATGCTGATGCTGGTGATGATGCGGTTGATGACGATGCTGGTGGCGGTGGTGATGATGGTGATGATGGTGATGATGATGATGGTGACGATGTTGCTGGTGGTGATGATGGTGATGGTGATGATGATGATGTTGATGATGATGACGGTGATGATACTGTTGTTGTTGATGACGATGACAATGATAATGATGATGATGATGATGATGATGATGATGATGATGATAACGATTACTATGACGATTACTATGACGATTGCTATGACGATTACTATGACGATTACTATGACGATGATGATGACGATGATGATGATGATGATGATGATGATGATGATGATGATGATGATGATGATGATGATGATGATGATGATGATGATGATGATGATGATGATGATGATGATGATGGGGGCTCTGGTCCTGCTTCCTGGAGGCGGTGGCGACCCCCCCGAGTGGCGATCCCCTGTGGGCACCGCCTGGCCCGCGCGCCATGACCGGCGCCCTCGGGCCGCCCGCCGCGCGGAGAGGCCGCGGCGTCGCCGCGCCGCGACGAGCGGCGCCGGCGCGCGGCCGCGGCGAAGGCCCTCGGCGACGTCGTCGGCGGCGTCGCCGTCGCCATCGGTATCGGCGTCGTCGTCGTCGGCGACGCCGTCGGCGGCGTCGTCGTCGACGACATCGTCTGCGGGGTCGTGGTCGTCGTCGTCGTCGTCGTCGGCATCGTCGTCCTCGTCGGCATCGTCGTCGACGACGACATCGTCGTCATGGTCGTCGTCGGCGTCGGCGTCGTCGTCGTCGGCGACACGGCGGCGTCGCCTTCACCGTTGGTGTCGGCGTCGTCGGCGTCGTCGATGCCAGTACGGTGGGGGCGTCGGTTAAGAAAGTTGCCCAGGAGGTTGCAGACCTTTGAGGACCCCTTAAATGATGAGGACCGCGGTGCTATCCATGGCCATTCCAAGATCGGAGTTTCACCCGCTTCCAGACCCTGCATTCCTTATCCAAGGGTTCTTGATCCGATGCCCTCACTGTCCGTAGCCATTTTGGCCCAAAGCCACGGCGCACCTGGCGACCTTGAACGCGAGAGGCGCTTCGCTAAGAGCCAAAGGATTACGCAGTTTTGTGTTTGGAAGTTCTGCGGTCGACGTGCGGTCGGCACATGGCGCCCGTCCGCGCTGGCCACGCCGCGGGCGGCCGAGGCAGCAGGAGCCCGCGTGGACGATGGGGCAGTTACTGGTTCTGTTCGGCACGTCGGGAGTGGAGCTGGCGCGCCCCCGCTCCGCATGCTGGGCCCTCGGCCAGGTCAAACCGCCCTGGGTCGGAGCGGCTGGGCCGAAGTCCTTGGCCGGCGCGGCCGCGGAGCCCGACGTCGTCGCCGACAAGGACGGCCGGGTGCTGCAGGGGCACGGGCGATCGGCGGCACACCCGCGCAGCGGCGCGGCAGGCTGCCCGACCCGAGGCGGTGGACAGAAGGCCCGACGGCACAGGGAGCGCCGCCGGTGTCGACGAGGGCAGCGCCCCACGAGGCGCCGAGCCTGAGTCTGAGAGCATCCGCCGCGCGATCGCGCAGCTCGAGAAGCGCCAGCAGGGCCCGCTCGTTGGCCCCTCGTGGGAGACGCGGCCCGAGCTGGAGGAGAGGCTCGCGAAGCAGAGGTGCCTGCTTGACGGGCCCCGTGAGGGGGAGCAGCTGGCCAAGCGACCAGCGCGGCCCAAGGCAGCCGCCCTGCGCTCGGCGGGCGTCGCGCTCGGCAAGGCGGAGAGCAGGGTCCGCAGCAAGGAGACGGCCCTGCAGCACGCGGAGTCCGACCTGGCCGAGACGACGAGGGCGCTGCACCAGGCCCACCAGCGCGCAGCGGACTGAAGGCAAGCGGTCGAGCTGCCAGTGGGTGGCAGCGGCTCATCTTGGGGAGCGCTCATAGCCCCCATGAGGGGAAGCGGATTATGTGCGGTATCGGTGTGGGGAAAGAAGTTGGTGAATGCTTTTGCTGGAAAAAAAGAAGGAGCTCGAGGGCCAGCGCGCGGCCCTCGTGGAGGCGGAGCGCCACCAGGCGGCAGCTGCGCGGGAGACCCTCTCCGCAGGCAACCCGCGGGAGCTGGTGGACGGCCTCCCCCGCCAGATCGAGCTGCTCAAGCAGGGCCTCGGGGCGAACCCCACGGAGGCAGTAGAGGCCCTCTCGCAGCAGGCGGCGGCCATCCGCGGGCGCGGGCCGCCCCGCTCGCCAGCCCGCGTTGCTTGGGCCGACAGCTGCCCAGCAGAGGGTAGCGACGTAGCGACCCCGACGAAGATGACAGCGACGTGGAGCTTCTTCCGCCTGCAGCGGGCTGCATGCGCCCAGACCCGCCTGCTCGGGGACCTGCCAGCGGCTTTTCGCCGCGCCCCCAGCAGCCCGTCGCAAACCGCGGCCAAGGCGAGCGCTCAGGGGACGCAGCGAGCCCCTGGTCTAGGCCAGGTCCCGAGCTCTCACGCGGGTTGGCCAACGCGGGCGCGGCCATCACCGAGAAATTGCTGGCGGTCGAGAGCACTGGTGCTGTGGATCCCGCTGACGGGCCAGCGCGCGGGTGGCCATCCAGTCAAGCGTAGCTATCTGAAAGTAGCCCTCGGCCTTGGACCGACGCCGTACCCGACGCGGTCGACGCCGCTGGCAGGAGGCCCCCCAGGGGCGGTTGACACACGCGCCGCGGCGACATAGATGGGGCCCCCGATTGCGGCGGAAACAGGAGCAGCGCCGCCACCAGGGGGGCGGCTGCGGACGAGGTCTCGACCAGGGAGGTGCTCGCCACCAGGAGCTGGAACCCTCGGCCACAGCATCACGAGGCGGTCAGAGGAGAAGGTGGAACCTGGCCCAGCGGTCAGCCCCACGACCATTCCGCGGAAGGGCGTGGCCCTGGCTCCAGCCCCCGTCTCCATGGACCCTTCATTTTCGCTCGTCGTCGTGCTCCTGGCCCAGGCCCTGGACCCAGCCTCCTCCCATGGCCCTGGCCCCAGCCCCCTCGCGTCGGACCTTCAATTTTCGTTCGTCGTCACCCCCCTGGTCCTGGTCCTGGCCCTGAAGCCAGCCTCCCCTCCGGACCTGCCTGGCCCCAGCCCCCCTCGCCTCCCTAGTCGTGGCACTGGACCCAGCCTGCCCCCTGGTTTTGGCGCCAGCCCCCCTTGCCCCGTTGGCCTTGTTTCTGGACCCAGCCTCCCCCCCTGGCCCAGCCTCGAAATATCGATCGCGCCTCAGCTGTCAAAAAACTCATTCGAGCAGGTCCCAATCGACAACGGCTGATTCAGCACCGTGGCGCCCTGGCCCCACCTGCCCCTCCTCCTCCTCCTCCTCCTCCTCCTCCTCCTCCTCCTCCTCCTCCTCCTCCTCCTCCTCCTCCTCCTCCTCCTCGTCTTCCTCCTCCTCCTCCTCCTCCTCCTCCTCGTCTTCCTCCTCCTCATCATCCTCCTCATCCTCCTCCTTGTCTCCTCGGTCCCCCCCACATGCGTTTACTCCTCCTTCTCTCCTCAAATGTGCAAGGGCCAGAGCACGCGTGCCATGTGTATTTAGGATGGACGATGGGGCAGAATCATATGTGAATTTCCATACGAATAAAGGGGCGGTTCAATCCGGGGGGGGAGATCGTAATATATTTGTAGAGAGGAGAATCCAGGGCGGCGACGGGGCGGTGACGGCGGCCACATAGCCGCCTGACCGACGACACGGCCCAGACGATGGGTGGCGACGAGGTGGCGACAAGGCGGCGACGGCGGCCACATAGCCGCCAGACCGAAGGCACGGCCCAGTTCCTTAGAACAGATGCATGAACCCCTAAGTGATGCATGAACCCCTAAGTGCAAGCACTGCTTGGTGGAAACATACAGGAGGTGGTGGAGGAGGAGGAGGAGGCGGGAGAGGGAGAAGGGAGAACGAGGGCAAGGATGGGCCGCCCAGCGAAAGAAAAGAAAGAAAGGATGGGCCGCCCGTCCGCTGCGGAATCAGTTGAGGAAGGGAAAGTTGGGCTCGGGGGCAGTTTCCGTCACGTTGGAAACCCCTCCGCCAAATGAGGGCGTCTTGCACAATCGGCATTGACAGTAAGGACGATCGACTTCCCAAGGGTGCCCTTGCATCCTTGTCTCTTCGGTCATATCCGGTCCATCCTCAACCACTTTGATGGCTAGCCCCGCTCGAAAAAAATTCGGCATGGGCGCCCAAGGCCCTAGCATCCTTATCGCGCATCTGTACTACAGTCAGCCCGCATGGTAAGGATGGGCAACCTTCCCAAGGATACCTTTGCATCCTTGCCTCCTCGGTCCATTCTTGACAGCTTTCGCTGGCCGCGCCCCGCTCGCAAAGTGTCGGCATGGCCTTCCAAGGCCCTTGCATCTTTACCGCGCAACATTATCACACGGGGTGCCTGTATCAGTTTTGACTGTAGCCCATCGAAGCCCATCTGGGGGGGCTGAGACGTCTCGGGGACGACCCCCGTGATAAATCTTGGGGGTGGGCCGTCCTAGCGCTCCTCGGAGACCACCCAGCGGTTCTTGCAAGTCTGGCGACGACGTAAAGCAAAACGCGGAATCTGGATTCTGTCCAACTCGGGCAGATGTTAGGCCTTGCCGCCATCGAAGTACTATTCTTCAGTGCCCTGTGCGCTTTCCCGACGAGAGCGCACAGATCGCTCGGGTCGCTCGGCGATCGCTCTGCCTCGACGCGAGCACTTCCCAACAGCTGACCCTTTACGTCCCTCTCGGCTTCGGCGCAAGCCCACTGCCCAAGACCTCCCCGAGCTGGTTGCCAGATGCCTCAGGGCAGCCCCAAAATGGCTCGATGGCACCCTGAAGCCCTTCAGAAGAGGAGCGAGGAGCGAGGAGGGAGAGGACGAGAGGAGGAGGAGGAGGAGGAGGAGGAGGAGGAGGAGGAGGAGAGGAGAGGAGACAGAGAAAGGGGAGAGGAAGGAGAAGGGCCAGAGCAAGGAGGACGCATGTGTTGGGAAAGCCCTGCGGTCGCTGGCACGGACGGGGGGGGGGGGGGAACGGCGGCGACGATGACGGCAGCGGCGATGCCGCAGCGATACTGTTGGATTTTTGCGGACGATAACCTCACCTTGTCGACCGCTCGTCCCCTCCCCTTACTTCCCCCTCTTCCTCCTCCTCCTGATCCTTCTCATCCTTTTCCTCCTCCTCTTTTCTGCCCCTCATCTCTCCTTCTCATCCTCTACATGTCCGTTATATTCCCCATCCGTTGCCATTGGTTGTCGAGCGCGTTGCCGCGCCGTAGCACCGATCTCAGTCGGCACGGTCGCTCCCCCTCATTCCCCCTTCCTCCTTCCTGACGACGTAAAGAATGTTGCTCCTCTTTCCCACCTCCACACCGCTATCATCACAATCCCATCTTTACACCACTATCATCAGCAGCTGAAGCATCATCATCATCATCATCATCATCATCAGCAGCAGCAGCAGCAGCATCATCATAAGCAGCAGCATGATCATGATCGTCATCGTCATTGTCGTCTTCATCGTCATCACTCCCGCATCGTCAGCATCATCACAACCCTCATCGTCATCGCCATCGCCGGCCCTCCCCCTCGCCTCTTCCTCCCCCCTCCCTTCCCGCCCCTCTCCTCGGTGGTTCAAAGATGGAGTCCGGAGGGTTGGGGTCCTACAGACAGCAAGGGACCCAAGGGTGGATCGACATCGCTTGAGGCACCTCGTCCTTAGGACCCCATCCCTCAGGACCCCCTCTTTGAAACCCCCTTCTCCCCTCCCCGCTCCTCAGCCGCCCCCCCCCCCGCCCTGGTGCACCCCGACTCCCTCCCCCCCAGCGGCGGGCGAAGGCCGCGCGCACCCCACGAGCCGCGACGCGCCCGAGGACGCCGCGCCGGAGGGCGGCGGCGGCGCAGCGCCCAGCGCGGGCGGTGCAGGACGGACCTCCGCGTGCGCCCACGGTAAGCAGAGTCGGCCGCTCGCAGAGGAGGGCGTGGGGGACGGGGGAGGGCTTCTTGGAGGCACCCCTGTTTCTCAGAAGTCGCGGGCCTCGTCTGCAGATGCAGGACCGGCGCCTGCTGAGCAGCAGCCTCCATCCGAGAAGCCTGCCCCCCATCCCCCATGCCCCGCTGTGCGCGCCGCCAAAGGACGCAGGGCCTCCGCGTGCTCTCACGGCAACAAGAGGACTCCCAATGGGCCGACTTTGATTGACACCAGAGGTGAAAATTAGGCGCGCGTGCTTCGACGCCTCCCAGACGGGATCCGAGTGGAGGGGGTCCGAGGATCGCGCCACATCGCCGTTGCGGCTCGATGTGAAGCCCCGATTTTCTCCGCGCCAGCGTCGCGAGTGCACCGCTTACGTCGCCGATGCATCGGCGATGCGGCGCGATCCTCCGACATCATCTACTCCAACCCCATCTAGGAGGCCTCTAAAGAAGCCTCCAGCGAGAGCCTCCAGCGAGAGAGAGAGAGAGATGAGGGGGAAGGAGACGACGGGGAGAGAAGGGAACAGAGGGGGACCATGGTGCGCAACCCAGCTCCTGCTGAAGGCGGAGGCGGCGCAGCGCCCGACGCGGGCGGGTGGTACAGGATTCGGCCGGGCGTGTCGTAATAGGGGGGCGACGAAGAAAAAGACATCTTTCGCGCATCCGCGCCCTGAAAGGAACCCCTCGGACCCAAGAGGTACACGAGAGATGCACGTTTCCTCGCACCCCCCCCCCGTGCATCGCCCCCCCCCCCCATCGAGCAGCGCCCAATTCAGGACGGCCGAAAGGGGGAGGGGAGGATTGGGAAACTGGACATCTGCTGCATGCATGCATGCATGCATGCACAGCTGGTGTCGGCTCCGCGGCAGCCGGGCGCAGTCCTCGATGCATGGGCGCGCCTGGCGCCTGGGGGCGCCAGGCAAACCAGCTACTCGAGCTGATTCGCGAAACCCCACTGCACGATACCGCCATGTGTGTTCGTCCGACCCGAAGGCCGGTGGGCTCCCTCCTCAAGGACAGGGGCCCCCGCCTGCCTGAAAGCGGCGGCGGCGGCGGCCCTGCGCCAGGCGCCGGGGTCGTGCGGGGCGGGGTCGAGGACCCAGAAGTCAGGACTCTGCAAGCCGTGCGTCGGGCATGTCCCTCTACGGAAGAAATATTCATGAATAGCCAAAAAATAGTCTGGGGACGATGTTTCGTGTTCTTCTGGTTAGTCTTGAGCATGTGATGACTACGTGTCATGTTCCTTCCTAAATCCGCCTGTAGGAGGACATGCCCGACCTAAGGCAAGCCAGGACTCTGCCACATCCGGCGGGAGAAGACGGAGAACAGAGGATGCGAAACGCTGGCGAAGGACGCAGCCGAGTTGCGCCGCCTCCCCCCCCCATGGCAGGACCCCACCGCTGCACCTTCGTAGGATTCTGGCTCGAATTCGGTGGGGTGGCTCCCCCTCCTGCCCACTCGATCAGATCAGCTCAACCAAGAGGATGGTTGGGCACACGGCGGCAGTTTTTGTCGGATGCGCTCATGACCCGCTAACGGGGCCCCGACACTTGTTTCCCTCCATAAGGGCTTGACAGCTCATCTGGCAAGGAGCACTTTCGGCCAGGGACACGTTCGGCAACCCCCAGACGTCGCTCGAGGGATGAATGTTTTTGGCAGCTTCTGGCGCCGGGAGTTACGGCACAAAAGCAGTGCAGGATGGAACACTGCACTTTCGCGGGCTCGCGGCCGCCTCGGGAAGCTAGCGGAAGAAGGAGAAGAGGGGAGGGGAGAAGACACAACCGAATGGACATGTAATCAGATCAGCTTGTACACTTAGTCAGCCCATTGCTGTCTCAGCCGCTCCCTGCGCCTGCGGGCTGCCCACTGCTTGGGCGCGCCGTCGACGTTGCGAACTAACCTTTTCACTAAAGAATTGCCGTCTTGAGCGCAGATATTTCTGTACAGCTTGATTTGTCGGCCTCTCAGAATGGATGACAGAGAATCAGAGTCGGCTCGTTCTAAAGCATCGACGTTCGAGACACGAGACACATATGAACATGGTATATAGAGAACTGTGCGGAGACATTTGCAATTGAATGCATCAAGCCTCGCCTTGTCTGCTTGTAGAAGCCCGAGCGAGTCCAGGGAGTATAGCAGCTTGCTGGCCACATGAAAATATATCTGAAGCTTTCGGCGCACACTGATACAAGGCCGCGGCCTTCCCCAGGCCCCGAGACTGTCGCAAAAAAACATGATCGACCCACGAGCCCGGAAAGAAAGTTAGAAATGCCAGGCATGGCCACGTTTTCAAGATATTTGATTGGGCGACGGACATTTACAATGCAAAATGCATCGATTGTGATGCACCGTGGTACGGGCTGTGTTGTATTATGCCGTGTTCAAATTGAAATCTGCCATGCCGCGATGAATTGCGTTGTGCTCCATGGCGTTGTGGATCCAGTCCTCCTGGACATCCGAATCCAGACCGAATTGATCTGGATCTTAAGCTCGATATGCCTGAGCGCATGGCTTGCCCAGAACTGGTTGCAGTCGAAACGTGTGGGACGCTCAATCAAATCGAGCTCAAGATCCGCCTCAGTTCCGAAGCGGGACGAGACGACACGGGGCGCAGGGCGCATGGACACGCCACGGGATGTACCAGGGGCAGATTAGGGAATGCGCCAGGGAACGTGTCAGGGGACGTGACGTGGACGTGTCGGGGACTTGCCACGGGACGTGCCAAGGTGCGTGCCATGGAGCGTGCCAGAGGACGTCACGCCAGTGAACGTCAAAGGGGACGCCCAAGGGAGCGCGGCAACGGACGAGCCAGGGAACTTGGTAAGGGGCGCGCCACGGAACGGGCAGGGGAAGCGCCAGGGGCAAGCCAGCGAACGCGACAGAGGACGAGCCAGGGGACGCGCCACAGGACGCGCCGAGGGGCGTCCCAGGGGGGGCGTCACTCCAGGGGACGTCGCAAGGGACGCGCCAGGGTACGCGCCACGTAACGGGCGGGGGCCATATAAAAAAAAACACCGGGCTTGAATTCACGGGCGAAAAGAATCTATGTAAGATCTCGTGGTTTGCATTTACGAGCGAAAATCATGTATGATGACATGGTTTGAGTTCACGGGCGACAGAACCCCACGTAAAAGCACAAAGTGTTTGGCCCACGGACGGCAAGAACGAACGTAAAAACAAAGGGTTCATGTTCGGGTAGCTAGGGACCTCCTAGGTAGGGCCTCCTGGAGTTTCCTGGGGATTGGGGTTCATGGGCGAAACGAACCCATGTAAAGACACATCGTTGGAGCTCGCAGACGAAAGAAACCCATGTAAAAAAAACATGGTTTGCGCGGGCGGGTGACCACCCTGGGCCATAACGCGCGCTATGCCCCCCCCCCTGACCCCCTCGAGTCATGAACCAAGCACGGCGGAAGGCTTGTCGCTTTTTTCAGATTCCGGGGACGGGACCTTGACTGGGCCTGCCTGAGGGCCGTCAAGAACGACTCAGACCGAAAACCTGGTCCGCGGGGATAGGTCGACACCTCTGGGGGTCGACGTTGTAAAACGACAATGGCGCCGGGCAGTGCGTCCCCGGCACTGCTTCAGCGCGTCTGGCACCACAGTCTGTGGCGGGCCCACACGAGGAGATTGAGTTCTCTTCGGTGGTGGCACGAGCGAAGACGAAGAGCGCGGTGCATGGAGAGTCTGAGGTATTCTAGGCCTCCCAGGAGGGGTCCGAGCAGATGGGGTCGGAGGATCGTGCCGCATCACCGATGCATCCGCAACGCGGCTCGACGTGGTGCCCGACTTCCCCCATTTCGACGGCGCCGAACTTTAAATGGAGCTGGGGCAAAGGCGAGAGATAGCGAGCGTTTGTCCGCGGCCGTTTGTGTTCAAGCGGCCGGCCGCCGACATATGACTGCGCCTCATCGCGGGGCACACTACTTGCCATCGAAACCGAAAACACCTTGGCTTGAGATGGCCCGTCGCTCCCGCGACGATCTCCTACTTCTAGGACTATCGCTACTACGGCACAGCAGAGTTGGAGATGGGCTTTGCCTTAGGCGAAGCTGCTGCTTGGGCCTCCCAGCCCCTTTCAAATTTGATAGTGGAGCTGGCCTATGGCGGTCAGCTCTTGCTCTACTTTTCATAATCCACGGCACTATCTGGTGGACTACTGACATGGTGGAACATCAGGGCGCAGTGGGTCTGCGCGAAGGAATGTATATAGCCACGCACAACGGCAAGGACATTTGCAGCGCCACCCCCGCTCTCGCGGAGGCCTCTTACAAGAGTCGTAGTTCCCTGCGCGACTACATTCCTGAAATCCACCCGCCTACACCAATTTGAAATTTTGGCGAAGACACCATGCATGGCAACATGCGATACGATACTGCGCCGCCTCCACCCCCACGCAGGCCCACGACAAAACACCACAACCCCCAGCCACGAATGTCCGACCACGACCTACAGGGCCACTGCATTGGTATTATTATGGTTGGCCTTCTGTGGGTCGCTCTCGGGTGCGCCGTGGAGCACATGCAGCGTGGTGGAGACGACACAAGAACAACCGGCCCCCGCTGGGACCCTGCCGGTCAGGTAAATTTCCGCGAATGTGTTCGAGAGGCAAATGCTCGGATCAACGTTACCACAAGCAACATAGCCCCCCCCCCAACAGGGTGCTGCACTGCAGCGCGGTCTGGGAGGCCTCGCACGGACCATAGCCATGAGAGTACCCCCCTCAGTCATCAATTTTGGCGTTAATATTGGTGGCCGCCACACTGATGGCGTCACCTATATCACGTTCCCCCCCAGTACGATCTTTGAGAACTTAGAGGCGGAACGCCAACTCAACTCGGGAACGGCCCCCATAACTTTCGCGTCCATGCGGGAGAACGGATCGACCAGACATTAGCATGCTTCGAGATGACCCGCTACGAGGCTGAGACCGCAGGCTTAAACATCCCCAACTTCCAATTCCTAACAGTCATCCTGTTCAGGGCTTTAGGAGTTGGGACGTCACGCGCACAACAACGCAGCCGGCACTCAACCACCAAATGCCGAGGAACCAACACAAATGCGATGCTCTACGGGAACGCATGAAGTGATATGCCCACATCGCCGAGCGAGCCCCTGGCAATATCGGTGGCATCTTTAGCCGCGGTCACCGCGCCGAAACCTTTCATACTGAGACTAGCGCAGGACAACCTGCTACAAACGTCTGGAATGATGATCCACAACCGACAGAGACCACCACATTATTAGCCCACAGGGATGGTCCGCCCGCGGGGTCGCAAGACTCCTGGGCCAGATATCATGGACCGTCGGCAACGGCGGCCCCTACGATAGCCACTACCCTTGTAGGCTCAGCAGGGCAACCCGCCGAGCCTGACTTCGACTATGGAATCGACACCGACACGTCATCAGATGACGAAACGGCATGCCTACGTACCTCACAGAAGAAGAACAGGCACAATGACTATCTCTAGGATACCAGGAACATAAACGCCGGTGGACACATCTTATGAAGAAACCAGTTCGTAATGTACGACGCACTATCCGACGGGCACTCAGAGTGAAGGGCAAGGGCCGAGGCAAGGGCAAGGGCAAACGACGGCGACTGCATGGTAGAGGTATGCCGGCATTCCTGGCATCCCTTACTGGACCACAACACGAAGAACTATTCCTGGGGGCAGGTAGCGGCCGCAGACATACCTCCCGAAAGGGCAGGGGACGTCGGGGCACACCGAAAGATGCCAACGGTTAAACCATTGAACGTGACATCTGCGATAACACACAACATTTCCGTCGCGAACGCCCCCAAGGCGATGCGAGAGGCAAGGGCCCGTCAATACATCTGGCTCAAACCGATTCGGGCATGCAGTATGTCGACTGGGAGACGCCATTAGCCGACCCTGCAGACGCCCTTACTGCCGCTGCCCACGCCATGGCCGCCAGAGAGATATGCCGACGAGCTCTTCGAGGATATCTATGTTGGCCACGATGAGATCAACCCGGCAGACTGGATGGGCATGCCCATCGCGGGGCAACTAGCACAGATCGAGTTCGTCGAGAAATTCCACATGCCCGCCGATGAAGACCACGACATGGCGGGGGCACCCGCGGATTCTGAAGCCACAATTCCAGCGACAGGCATTGACGCTTCATCCGCAGGTCCCTGGCAATCCGATAGACAGAGAATTATACGACGGCGACCCTTTGCGGGGAAGCCCGCGAAATAAGGGCGACCTTTCCGAACGCATCCAATACGAACTCGGGCGCAACGAGGACCTGCACTTCACGTTCGCGGTGCATGACGGGCCCGCGAGCCGCCCAGCACGGAGACGGG